CTCAATTGAATTACAGCGACCAATGGTTTCAAAAAACTTAGCAGAATTACGACCCAGTTGGAAAAAAATACGATCGTTTGTTGTTTCTTAAATATTAAAACAAAAACATTTATTTAAATTCCGGTTCAAGAAGAGAAAGCAGTGGCAATCAAGTTTATTGCTCGCGTTTTTTTTACAGACTGTGAATAATTGTCTTTGCATCCGATTGATTTGGTCCGATTGAAATCTTATTAGTGACCTCGAATATAGTAAAAGTTGTAATCTGAATCAGCAATAGGCTCTGTTACACCACTCGCTAAGTTCTGAGAACTCAGGTTGTATAAGTGTTTGGTGTCTACCACAAAATGTAAAAGCTTATTTTTTAATACGTTTTTGAGTCACTGAAAGTAAAAAGAATTTATATTCTTTGTTATCTATCACACGTCATTCATCTCTTTGAAGAACAGTTTATATTGACAAAATTTTGTGTTCTTTGTATTTTATAAATTCATAACTTATTAGGTTATTACTGATACATTTTATTCGTTTATTAGTTGAGAATAAGTTAAGAACATGAGCCGTCCCCGTCGTCTCATTTACTTTTAGGGGGTATTTTCACAAACAATAATTTAATAATAATGTGCCAAATCACCACACCAATTAACTTTAACTGCCTCTGTGGCCGAACGGTTACCATGCCGGACTGCCACGCAGAGGTCCCAGGTTCGATTCCCGGGCCGGGAGAAATATTTGTATGGTGTTAAGGTAATTTCTTGAGGATTTTCATTGTCTATTATAATTTTATGCTCATCCTATTACGTTGTTTTCCTGTGCAAGAATAGTTGTAGTAAATTTTAAAGCCTACGTAGCTCCGGGCAAAGCTAATCAAAAATAATTGACGCTCGGTGTTCCACTCATTATTTTTGAAAGTCTAAGTGCGCAGTCACACGAGCTGCATTCCAACCGCATCCCAACTGCAAAATAGCAGTTGGAGTTGGGATAGGTTTGGATGTGTAGGTGTAATAGAAAAAAAGATGGCACGCAGCGAGCGTATACTTACTGGCGGTATCACCGACGGTATTCGACTGTTGTTTTGCACTTGCAATGCAGTCGGAATGCAGTCATCATAATGTGACTACATTCTAATTAGATTCTAGATTGGCTTCCGAGTGATATTATTATTATTATTATTATTATTATATATAACTCAAAAGAGCTTGGACTTACATCAATTTGCCAAATTTTAATGAAATCGGATACCGGAAACTTCGCGAAATTGGATTCATCCCTTAGTTTGCCACCCTTAGAGGTGGAATATTTTCTTCAAATTTAAATGGTACCACTACTGAGTTACCCTCTTTCCAACAATAAAATAATCATCAAAATTCACAAATGCCAGAGTTGTCGCATAACATACATACAAAAAAATAAGGTCGAATTGAGAACCTCTTCCTTTATGAAGTTGGTTAAAAAAAAAATGTGGCTATTGCGAAGACATATGAAGTCGATATAATCGATACATAGACTGAATGTGTTATTAAACAAATCTTACAATAAATAACGAAAATATGTGTAATCAATTAATGATTTTTTTTTATTGAACATTAAACATTACAGTGACAACACAGAACAGTAATGCAAGTTATTATTATAAAAAAAGTATCACAGAGTAAGTAAGCTAATGCGCAACAAGCGAGCGGCCTATTGCAAATAATTTGTTTAAAGAATGTGTTTTTTTGTTGTATATTTCTTTTTGACTTAAAATTATGTTTGTTATTTCATTTTTCTTATTGTTTATACTTTTCTTATTGCTTGTAGTGCTCACCAATAATTAGTTACGCAATTCGACTAACATTTAAATGTTGTTTTCAACTCTTATAATGCATGAAATATTATAGTAACTATTAAGTGTGTTTAGTAAATTATGAAATAAATAAATGTATGTGGGGGGAGGATGGGGGGGGGGGGGGGATGCGCGTGTAATGTGTTCCTTAATTTATGTTTTTATGAATTAACAGCTTAATTTTAGTACCAAAGCACGCTGCAGAGGCTCTACATTTGTTTATTTATTCTTTACATTATAGACTTAGCTTCAAGTAGCTACTACAATTTAACGATACATTTTATACCTTTACTTTAAATAAGTAGTCCATACATGATTATGTATATTTGTAACATAAAAATGGACCACCCATTGTTTTTATACGAGTCTCATTCATAAAATGACCATCTATATGGCCCCTAGGCCAGTTTTGCGGCTACTCACTGTTTATAAAGTGAATCTTTGTTGTTTTTTATTCCTTCTTCGGAGTTGCATAAAAACAAAGTTGCTACGCCCAGTGCCCTGTGCGTTCTAGCTATGTAAATTCGTGAAATTTCCCATTCAAAATGTAACCTTATGACATTTAAATAGGGTTACCTTAAAGACGTGGATGTCCGTGCGTATATACGTAAGTTGCGTAGGTACTGTCAGGAAAGTTGACGCGTTACCATCTTAGGTTCAATTTACATTGTCGAGGAACGGAATGAAAGCCAATTTTTGTATCGAAATTGTACACAGTATAATGAACTTAATGTCAATTGTATAATCTACAAAGTATTATAGTATTATAATTTAGTTTGTACGTTAAACAATTGACATAATCACACCTTATGAGATCTTTACGAAAACCAAATCCATATTGTAAATAAATATGAATACAGCATATCTCTAACAAAATGTACCGAAACTTGAACTAATAATATTTCTCATGATAGTTACACTTAATAAACTACTTACATGCATTAAATGTGGCCTATAAACAATCTTAAATGCACCACTTTTAGAACAATAATACCTCCAATGAACACTACGCCAACTTTATTTTTTTGTCATTTTCTGTTATTTTTGTAAACAGTTATATTTATTTACTAATATGATGTTCCTCGAATTTTGTGGAAAAAAACCGGAAACAAAAAATAAAATTCGAATAAAATTAAACAAAAATACGAAATCTGTGAAGAAAAAATAATACGAAGAAACAAAATAGTGTTCATTGGAGGTATCGAGACGTCAAATTAAAATACTGGCGTCTTATAATATCTTCCATACTAAAGCGTATTTTAGATCCGGCGGTCTGTCTTCTTTTAGGTTTAGGACATGCACTTCCTTGGATTCCCATAATATTATTTATGCCATTAGCTATATTATTATTATTATATATTAGATAGAGCTGTTATGGCTATAAAAATCCGCTTCCATTCTTAGACCAGCAGCTTGCTTGTTCTTTTTAACCAGTGGCGTTTAAGGGCTAGGTGATATTTTTGTAATAAACGAAAGGTTTTCACTAAATAAAGGATCAACAAGCCAAAGGATGGGACAGGCTACGATCTCGATTTTCAGACAAAACTGTTTTGAGATTGGGTAGGTTACAATTTTGCTGATAGTACCCTACTAATAAATAAAAAAATGTGTACACATTCTTTGTTAATTTTACAAGTTAGCAAAAGCACTATTCACATACAAATAATGTATGTAAGTAGAGGTCAAAATTGTACTAAATATCCCACCGAATAAGATCTATTTGTCCTTGACCTTCTACAAAAAGTTTTATAACATTCTCCTGGACTCATAATTTCGATCCACCTTACATTTTCAGCATTAAATACCTAAGTTTAAATAACGCATGGTTGATCAAAAACTTTGCAATTTTGAAACTCGAGTACTAAAACGTGATTTCCATACGACCTTGTTGAAAATTTTAATTTCTTAAACCGGGGAAAACTTTTTTCTAAAATTGTTTAATTTCAGAATAAAAGTGCTTGAAATAAAAATAAAAAGTAATTTAAATTGCCTTTAAGAATAAAAGTGCTTATTAACGGTTGATTATTAAGAAGTTCTTAATTAAGCAGTTGAAGTTTCGAATTGCTATAATGGTAGTGTACCCATAATTTTATTTTTATATTGACAAATTATCCGCTCAAATGATATTGACTTATAATAAATAAAATATTCACAACAAATCCCTCGATTGTTCTATACATATAGCAGTACGTAACAGGAGTAAAAAAAAAAAATTAAAACAGGTATACGGTAAGCTAAAAGAAAAAGAAATTAAAGAACAACCAATGAAATGCTGATTAAATAACTATGCTTTCCTTCACCGATAAGCATTGCCTTTGTAATATAATCACAGTACTGAGTACTAAAAAAACCGACCTCAACCCCTAGGTTGCCACCCTCAGAGGTGGAATATTTTCTTCAAATTTAAATGGGACCACTTCTGAGGTATTCTATTTCCAACAAAAAAATCATTAAAATCGGTTAACAAATGAGTTATCGCGTAACATACATACAAAAAAGCTGCTCCTTTTTTTAAAGTCTGTTAAAAATATTCATAAATACGTAAGTTAAAAATTATGGTAATCAGTACCGCCACAGAGATTCCAACCGACCTCTCATTTAAGAAGCAGCTGTTCTGCCACTGCGCTACCACCGCTCTGACAATCATAATGAGTTGTTTTTATAATAGTCACTTTTTGTGATACCAAGAGACAAGACGAACAAGTAGTGCGCCTGGCGGTAAGCGACTCGTCCATCCATAGCAGTTGAAGTGCCACTCAGAGCTTTAAATCGTATAGATCCGAGGGACCACTGCGCTCGTCACCTGAGACATAAGTTGACAAGTCTCATGTGGCTGTAATTTCACCAAGACCCTTACCCCTCAAAACCGAAACACAGTAATGAGTACTGCTTGTGACAGAAATATTATACTCTACTACTATTATAAATATTAAACTGGCAGTACTTTCCTGGACGAATTCTTTCAGAAGGAGCTCTACTGCTACTTATAATCTAAGGATTAAAAAATGATAACAAAATAGTTTTATATATAATTTAAGAATTTATTTTATTAAAAAATAAAAATATATCATACATAGAAAGCTAATATATGAGCAACAACTACACTAAACTTTTAATTGACAATAATAAATCATTATCATTGAAAACTCATGTCAATTATGGTTGTGGAAATGACCAAATACTTTTTTGTGATGTCACATGCTTAAGCCTTCTTAATATACCTTAAAGTACACCTAGTTTGAATCCCTATGTACAAATTCAGCATTCTGATGCTTTACTACAAATCACGAAATAAACTGATCATAGACACTAGTCTACTCGTATACCTAATTAAGAATATGAAATAATTAAACAATAAATAACACGTACGACAAACTTAATTACCAGTCACATTACAATTAATCTACTTAATTTAATGCGAAATAACAAACTAAAACATTACAAAAATAAAATCGGCATTGAATGGTCCATACCAACTCTAAATACAAAGTGATTCGCTCTTAAAAATAACTATGAAATCCAACAATTATAATCGAAATAAAAATTAAAATATTGCCTAAAATTTTGATAAACTAATTTTTAAAATTTGGAGGTAAACAAAACACTGCACAAACAAACCTTATGAGATCTTTACGAAAACCAAATCCACATTGTAAATAAATACAAATACAGTCATACCTCTAACAAAATGTACCGAAACTTGAACTAATAATACTTCTCAAGATAGTTACACTAATTAAACTACTACTTACATACATTAAACGTAGCTTACGAACAATCTTAAATGCACCACTTTTAGAAGTTAAATCAAAATATCAGCGTCTCATAATGTCTTCTATACTAAAGCCTTTTTTAGGTGCGGTGGACTGACTTGCCCCTGGTTTAGGATTAGCACTTGGTTGGATCCCCACAATATTTTTTATGCCATTAGCGATAGAGCTGGAACTTGGCTCTTCGTTTTCTTTAAGGTTAGTTTGTAGGTTGTCCTTGCAGCTTGTGACGCTTGTTGAAGTACTTGGAGCAGTGTCTTTTGGAGGCGCATGCTTCACTATCAAATCTTGAGCAACTGTCTGTTGAGGTCCTAACACTGAATGTGGCACAGGACCGTAAGGTATCTGTGGATGAGGTGGTGGCATTGGCAATCCAAACTTATGATATGAAGGAATTCCAATTATTGTTGGAGGCATACCGACTACAACCTCAGCGTTTCCTAGTGGTTGTCGGGGCATTGTTAGATTAGTCGGCTCCGGCGATCTACTCCTGTATATTGCTGCACAAGTTCTTACACTATCTCCAATGTCAGGCGGATGACTTCTCTTTCTAAATGGACTCATGTACATTCCTGAAGGCCCTGGATCTATTGGCGGACTTGTCATCTGACCGATCTTGGACGGATCCGGCGGTGCAACTTGGTGCAAATCTCTACGAATTTGCAATTGCGGATGTCTTATCGGCTGCTCAGGCAAGTCCGTGTAACGCATTTCTTTTTCTATGATTTCGTCTGAAGTGTATCGTCTTTTCTCATATATCTCTGACAACGATCGGTGCTTATCTTGATGCTGCGGACGCATTGTATATGGACTTGCTCTGTCTCGTGGCTCATTGTGATGGCAATGAGTACGTTCAAAAGCCGATGGTGATTTTCGTCTTGGTCTTTCTTCACTTTGCTCTCTGCCAATACTTTCTATAGATGATGAACGCGCTCGTCTTACTGGAGAATGCTCAGGAGATGACAGTTCCGGATCTTCGTCGTCATATCCTGGTTCAATAGGAGATTCTGGTCTTCCAATATCTTCTTCACCAACATCAAGAACGTCTCCTGGGGGAACATCTCCAACAGCATGAGTCAAAGCATGGCGACGTAAATCGCAGTTTCTTCGGAATACTTTTCCACATGAGTTGCATTCGTATGGCTTGTGATCCGTGTGGGTTAGAAGATGTGTCTTGAGGTTTGAACGCTGGTTAAAGCTTCGGCTGCAGACAGGACATTTGTGAGGGGACTCTTCCATGTGAAGTATCTTGTGGACGGCAAGTGTCCTTGACTGGCAAAACCCTTTCCCGCATTCTGTGCACTTGAATGGCTTCTCCTTCGAATGTATATACCTGGAACAATGAAAGCGAAATTAATTTTCTGAGTTATTTTTATCTCAAATGATAACACTGGCGAGCAGTATGAACCATTCGCTGAGAACAATTTAACGATTCATGCCATAAAATATCGCGCTTTAATTAAATGTCTGAAGAGGGGCGGGGTAAATTTGAACACAAGTTGTGCAGATCTTTATAATGCAACTTGCTTTATTTATGGTATTGCAGCGTGCAGATAGAAATGCAAGTTTTAATTGGGTTTGCAGGGGGTGTTTATCATTTATCGTATATCTGGACTAACTAGACGCATTGCGAAAAATATAAAACATATTTGATGCTTATAGAAAATGGTTAACAAAATATGGAGTAATTAAAGAAATTAACCTTAGATCATTGTAGTAATACGTGATGAAATAATCAATTTGGCTTTAATATGTTGATTGTGAGCGTTATTATTATTATTATTATTATTATTAATATAATGTAAAAAAGATTTTAAAGACTAAATTAAGTAAAAGAAATAAATTTATTTCGATGATCTATCATTTCAGTCATGTCGTTTACGAGATTGCGACGGATTTAGATTATTCAGATTATATCAGCAAATTAGATTTTCAACCCGATGGTAAAAAATCTTGTAAAGTTTGTCAACAGTCAGTATCCTGCGCTGACGTACCTTGAACGTGATCCGAGTAATGCGAGCCTCCAGTCTCAAGGCAAGACCGACGATACGCTTGCGCGTGTCTCGAATCGCGTCCATTATTTGTAGACCTCTGGTGGTATCTTACTAGTTGAAGGCAACATAAACCTCATTATAAGTGTCCGTTCATTTTTATTTTAATGGAAATGAAAACGTAAAACTTCACAAGACACCTTTTATTTTGGAACAATTTACAATGAATTAACATAAATTTGCTATTTGGTCATTGTTACGAAGGGTCATTGATAGCTTATTTATATAGGATTTCTTGTATTTTTAACTTATTTTACTTTATATAAATTACCTAATACCTGTACATTTAAATAATTTCATCTTGTAGTATATTACTTGTTGTACTTTGAGGTTATGAGGTACTGAAAGGTCAAGCGACATTGGTTTCGTTCCAATAAGAGCGAATCGAATTACGTTAAAAGCATTTTCTGGCCAATCGCGCCGATTAATAATTATTATTAACGTGGACTGTATTGAATTTCTAGAGAAAAGTAATTGAAGTATACATAATACGTAATCTTACTCATCATGCAGACAATAAAAAATACTATAAATTTGGTTAAATGTTTTGGTTCCCTTAAAAAAGTGCAGTCAATAATTTGGTCATACTGTATGAACGTTGCACTAAAACAAGTGCAATGGAGAAACTAAGAATTGATTTGGTCCCATTTTCTTACATCAAAATAAATTAAATCTTATTAACTACCATTGAGATTTTAGTTTGCTGACAGATAAGGTATAAAAATTCAATGAAAGCTTAAATACTAGTAACTAAAACTAGGATTAAATTATTATGAATAAAATGAGGTCGTCGCGGCAAGTTGCCCAATATGCTGGCAGTGTTCCTCTTTTGTATAGCTATGTTAATACGTTGGGCTGTATAGCTATGTTAATACGTTGGGCAAGGTAGCAGTCAGCCCCCAAGACGGGGTTCTCGCCTTGTCGTGGCCGGGGGCTCTAGTAGCCGTGGTCGATTTCATTTCATGGTGAAGCTAAGAGGAACCGACGGGGCCAGCCGATGGTGGTAGGTTGGCCCGAGGAGGAAGACGTTCCCCACGGGCTCGTCTGGTCAGCGGGACCGTGCGGATGCGCGCTGGGAGGAGGGTCGCGGGGGGAGAGACGTGTCGGTGTGTCGTTGCCGCTCGTCCTATCCTCCACGGCCGAACTTGGGCGGTTGGCTCGTGGTGGGCTCTCCTAGGGACTCTCTTTGGAGAGTCCGCGCGGATGCGCGTTAGGTATCGCGGTGGAGCCTACCATCAGATCCGCCGCGGGGCTGGGGGAGCAGCCACTACACTTCATAGTTGAGTGGATGCTGTCCCGGCCCCTGGGTAGCGGACTCGGGGGAGTTCGTTGCCCAGGATAGAGGGGCCCGGGATGGATGGCTCGTCTGGTGTTCGGCGAGCATCACACTCGAAGTCAGGGGACCGATGTGTCTCCCTTCTCGGGGAGGGACTGCGCAGGGCGCGGCTAGCCACTGGTGGGAGCGCGGACGAGTGCAATAGCGTGCCCGTACCCCCACCTACAGCGGAGAGGAGGAACACTCCGGGGGTTTAGTGCGGTCAGGCTGCTCCCGTTCAGGGTTCAGTCCAGTCCCACATAATCCTGGCATTGCCCCCTGCGGGGCCGGGGTATCTGTAAGCAGATTCCCCCGGATTAACAAAGAAAAGGTAGCAGTCAGCCAGTTTATGGAGAAACCACAATGTACTAACCAGACAATACTAAACGCTGTTGTTTGTACGAACAATTATAAATAGAAATTTCAGTACAGTTTTTGCAGTAATACATTATCGAGCAATTATCGATAAAAACTACTTAAAATACGTTAAATAGGTATTTGGTAACGTCGTTTACTAAAATGAAATCGACATTTACGGCTCAATTATTGAACGTCTGTAATTAAGGCACGTGAAGCTATTACATTTTTTTGCTTATAATTACCAGATAATCTATTGCGCGAGGTGTTCATTGGTGCTTTTTTTCTCGAGGAAACGAAGCGAAGCAAAAGCGGGCAGTTTGCGAATTATACAGGAAGTATGCAAGAGTAAAGTTATGTATCATTACGGTCTTGAATGAGAATAACTCGTTTGAAGCGTGCCTTAATAATTAATATGGAAATTTTAGAGGAGGAGTTGAATTTAATAATTAATTTTATGATAAAATCTCGCGAAATATGTTTTTAATTTTTTTATTTTCACGATTATTTACCACCGTGATATACATATATATTTTTTTGGCGAAAAACCTCCACTAGATTGTCATAATTACTAAAAGTTGATACTAACTTAGCTCGAAATAATTTTTTTCCCATAATACGGTTTATTTTGCTTGGGTCGAGACCCGAAATTAGAAAGAACGAAATTAAACCCATTTGAAAAATGTAGTACGCATAATCATATACTGTCCATGTTTTAATTAGTTTAATTATATGAAAAAATCATTGGTATATGTAAATTACTTATTGAATACAGCGAATTTTGTGTAAAATTTCGACGTAACTGTATATCCCCAATTTTACTATATATTTTTTTCCAATGATTGATTTAACACTTTCATTGTTATTCGGAATCAACCAAAGCCATTTGAGATAGTATCTACTCTTAACACAAAGATCAAACACAAAGAAAAATTCCTTCGACCCGATGGGACTTGAGAGGAACCTCTAACCACGCTATAGAGAAATACGTCATCGATATTTCATATCTTTGACATAATACAGCCACATGTCATCATACGTCAAAATTGCTGTTAACACGTGAAAATCGTAAAAATAATACGAACAATAATGAAAGTATATCGCCGGGGATAGTACAAATCCGCGTAGTGTTGGTAAAAAGCGCGTATCTACACAAAACCAAATTTCACAGGAGTGGGCTTTAACGTTATTACTGATTACTAACTAAGTTAGACTAAGTTACTGAAATGGAGACTCATAATCAAATGCTATCCTTCACTATCCTATTTAAGCTTAAAAAGCTATCGACTAATTTCGTTCGTAGAATCTTTAAGCGTCTCTGCTGAAATGTTGTCATTTTGCAGTTGTATCTTTATTACATGAAGGGTGCGATTTTTAAAGTGCATTTTTTTCTTTGTATACTAAGTGGCGGCACGAACAAATCAATATAATAGATTTAGATATTGATTTATATACTCGTATACATAAATCATATTTTTTTAAACGCATTAAACATTTTTATTTTTGACTACTCCTGTAGTCGAGTGGCTTGCACACCGATTTTCATGTTGTTGCTGTCTCTAAGGTCCCGAGTTCGATCCCCGACCGGGTCAATGAAGAAATTTTTTTTTACTATATTAAGTGACGGAATGAAGAAGTCGCCTGGTGGTAAGTGACACGCTTGTCCATAACAGTTGCAATGCCAGACAAGATCTGAGGGGCACTGCCACTGCGCCAGTCAGCCTGATCCATAAATTGACAAGTCATATGTCTGTAATTTCACCAAAAACCAGGATCAAATAATATAGGTGGCCTAAAAAAATCGAATAATGCATCGATCATTGAAACAAGTCAACCCAATTTATTTTACATCGATTAAAACATCGTTGCCACCTGCTAATTGTTTGTAATCTAAATTAATCATGGGAACATGAATTTTGTCGAAAAAACCTAATTGAACCTCCAACATAGCCCGTCCTTTAATGATGATTACTACAGAGATTCCATAGCTTGTCACGCGGAGAATGCGGCGTGTAAATAATATATCATTACCTTGCCCAGAATAAATATAAAAAGTTGTAATGAGAGCTCACATTCGATGGTTACATATTTTCATAAAAATTAAACGCATGAATACACTGTATATAAAAAAGTAAAAGATTCCCTATTATTCAATTTAATTCAAATTATTATATTTCACTAAAAACAATCTTGACAATATAGTATTCATTCTAATTTTCTCAGTTTAACTTTATATTTATAGATTTGTAGCTTTTTAGCAACTGGGTTCCGGTTTTGAAGAATAAGGGTATTGATGAAATTACAGGCACATGGGACATGTCAACTTATGATACTCAGATCTATCTTCGTGATTTAAAGCTCTGAGGTGGCACTGCAACTGTTTATGGATATGCGTGTAGTTTGCCTTACAAACTTACAGGGTTACAGGGTTACATGGTTGAACTTTAAAATTGAGAACTTTTACATTACCCATGTCACGAAATTATTTTATAAATATGAATATGTAGTCGGTGCAATAAAAACTATCATTTCTTGTGATAAAAATGTATTTATTTATGAGGTAAACACCGTCTTTAGGTTTTTAACACAAAATTATAAATTGAAAATAAAAATCCAAAACGAAAACT